TGAGACCCCCAATTCTTTAATTCTGCATAATAGAGCCTCTGTGTCTCTAATTTGACTCTTCACTTCAATATTCTTGTTGCAATTTTGAATGTTGCTGTCATTTATGGACTCATCTGCCACCGAATCTGCTGAATTTGATTCGAAAATGACCTCTTGTGCCATGTTTTCCGTCACTGCCCTCTTCCCTTTCTTATTTTTCTGTAGCCGAAACCCCTTAAGCCCGCCTGATTGAATGTAGACCGATCTGCAGGTCTTCACTCTTCTTTTCTGCTGTTTCTTCTTTTTTTCCTCCCCCTTTTTGGTCTAGTTTGGCATCTCCCCTGCATCGTCGGCCATATCTTTCCAGAAACTGACTTCCTTTTCGGTCATCACGTGGGAAGCTGCCTTTTTTGACTTTTTGGAGGGCTTTCTCAAAGGTGTTTGGTTTGGATCTTCATTGTTTGGCCCATTAACATTACCCAAAGATAATGAGTTTAATTCTTCATAGTATGGCCCATCTTCGTTAGGCCCGTTTCTCCCATCCTCCGAATTCAATTTCTTTGCCGGTCCAATCGGCTCAATTTCTTCTCCCTCTTTCCTTTGCCTCTCTTCAGCAACTGCAGTCTTGTCCGATGCGAGCTCTGGTCTGCTTTCTTGTGAAGCTTCCTCCTCTGCCCCCTTTTTGAAAAACTCCCCGTTCCCGATGTTTTCCTCGCTGACATCCCGCTCTGCTCCCCTTCCGCTCCTCTCTTCCTCGAGCCCAGCAATCATTAAATGTTTTCTTGTTGAGCCTTCCTTCCCAGCCGTTGTAACCTCGTTTGCTTTTTGAAAACATTTAACCGGTCCCCCTGTTTCTGAAGCCTCATCATCTATCCCTTCGGCAAGATCTTTTTGATTATTTTGGTGATTCATCGACCTTATTGCTGAGCTGTCAACTGACAAGTGTGTCCTCGTGTCTATTCCTCTTGCCTCATCTTCTATCTCTGTCTCCGGAACACGTAGATCTGTTGCCATGTCATCATCTTCTTCATCACCCTGAGCTTGCTCGGATTCTATATCACCCGAATACTGATCTGAATCCTCATTAGAAGCTTCTGCTGACCATTTATCTTCATGCTCCTTACTCCCCTTTAACTTGAAATCTGAATTCATTATGTATAGACCATTGCTGGACTCCTCCTCTGAAAATTTTACCTTGTACAGGACCCCATTTATCTTTATGGTTAAGGACTTTGAGATGGATTCCGACGACGATGTTGCTATAAGAAATCTTGCGGCATCAAGACGTATTTTCCCACTGGTACTGTCATCCAGTGAAACAAAGGTGCCCCAAAGACTTCCAAAAGATTGGAAAAATTCCGGTTTCCATGCATGTAAAGGTAGGCCCAAGCACCTAATCCATGCAAACCTTTCCGCTGCGACTATCGTCGGATTCCATGGTTTGATTTCCTCAAACCATTGTCCTAGCCACTCTTGGCCAGTTTCAATAAGGTCTTTCAAATCTTCATAATCATGTCCTTCCATCAAGACCAACCTACCACCCATTGCTCTGATTTTGCAGAAGAAAACTCCTTCCATGAAGAATTTTTCTTGCAAAGTTGGAATCAAAGTTACCGAGCGAACTGTTCCTACGAAGCATTTCTCCAGCCACCCATACTCATTTTGCTTCACATTAAACTCCATTCCTGACCAAGTTTGAGGTTGCTGTTTTGGTTTCCATCTCCACTTCGTTTGATCATTCGCTTTGAGCCTTTTGCTTTGCTCTCTGGTGTTTGCACCGTGGTATTGTCCCTCATTGAGTCCCATACTTTGATAATCTGCATTGTTTCCTTTGACTACCTCTGCATAAGTCAAATTCCTTTTTGTTCCTGCATTTGACATGGCCACATTCGGCCTCCTCTTTCCCATATTTCTTTGTTGGTTGTTCTGGTATCCAGACTTCTCAAAACGGGGTTTGTTAGCTTGAAGATTGATCCCCCCGATTTGAATTTGGTTTAGCTTCCTCTCCAGTTGTCCAGCGTCTTTCACCTCCAAAAACCTGACGAAACCAAATCTTCTCCCTAAGCGGTCTCTCTTTTTGGGGCATTCAATTTCTATCACCCTGCCCTCTCCCAATCTGTTGAAAGTTCTCCACATCTGTTCAAAAGACCATTCATCTGGGAAATTTGTGAAAAAGAAAGGGATTGCTTGGTTGTAGATCCTTTTCTCAAAACCCCCATAGAACTCTCTTAGCTGGTTCCTGCTCTCACGTTGAAACCCCTCATATCGCTGTGATGTCCACTGTCCTCGTTCTCTGCTGCCGGTCGCCCTCTCCGGCACTCGCTCTCTCACTGATGCTCTCCCTCTCATATCGCTGTGATAGCATTCATATTAGTTAAAGATCTCACGACTATTTAACTATTATTTAAGAAGATATATAATTTTTTAATAAATATATTGTGAAATATATTAATTCGAAAGAATATATTAATTATTGTCTATATTAAAAATGTGAAATATCCAATGATTCCACTAATTAACTATTATTCAAAGGGTTTATCTATTTTATACCTTTAAAGCACATGGTAAAAAATAATAATAACACAATTATTATAGTTTTTTATCTTAAAAATAATAAAATTAACTTTTGTTTTAATCATAAA